AAAATGATTTTTTTTTCTGCCTTTCTGATTTTTCCCAAAGCCCTCAATTGGATATGCTTAGCATTCTAAGGTGATCACAGGTTCTCCTAAAATTAAATTTAAATGAAATATCCTTTTACCAGCCTCCAGCTTGTGCTCTGGAGTACAGAAAGAGTCCTTGGGGTCTGTTGAGCTACATTTTACACACCGTATGTGAATCCATCCTCTGGCAACAGCACCTTACACCTTTACATGATCTAGCCCAGCATGAGGCTGGGGACATCATTTTGCTGAACATGTCCCTCAACCTTCTCCTGTTTGCTTGCCTCCCATGATAAAAGGGGAATTGTTGATGCTTTAACGCTGCTCATCATAACGTAGTGCTTCAGACCTGGCTTTGTTTGCTGTCATACTGCTGTACTGTAATGTCACAGCCCATTAATGCTGCACCCTCCATCTCAGGAGACCAACGTGCCCTTCTCCCCCACACTCCTTGCACACATTGCAATCAAAGTGCTGCGTGTTACCTGCATGTTAAATTGGGAAGGCTCAGGCACACACGCAAAATAACTTGTCCAGACAATTGCAGAAGAAAATAACCAAGAGACTTTGTTGTAGACTCCAAGTATTCAGGCTTCTCATTTGGCTTTAACTTACTAAGATTAATGTTTAACGTACTGCCACAGCAATGTATGGGTTTAAAAGAAACTTCAGTATCTCCTTTTCTGGCCTACAATTAAGAATTTTAAAACCAAGCAAAAATAAAAGAGGAATTTATAACATGCGGCTGAGGAAAGGCAAAGAAAAAGCATTCAGTTTTCCTAGTATTTTGTACAAATCCAAACATCTAACCGGAAAAACAGCTTGAACCCTTCTAAATTCTTTATGACTCATCATGGAGCAATAAAAAGTTCAGTACGTTAAAAACAGCTCCTATCAACCTTAAGGCTGATGAAAGCACAATCACCACTGAGGCTCGTTCCCAGTGTGGTAGGGGCATTTCCAGCTCCAGAATCTCAGCCCTAAATTCACTGTATTTGGCTCTTTGGATACTCAGGTGGTGTTAAAAACACGATGCCTTGCCCCCTTAGGAAACTGCTGCTCGGGAGAAGCTCTTTTCATATTCTTTTGTCAGTTTATTTTCGGCGAGGTAGGTGGAGCCAGCTCCCAGGGCAGTAAATTTAACAGGCACCTCCTGGCACAACTGTTACAACCCAAACGGATTCAAGAGCAAAGTTCAAGACATTCAGACCGCAGAGAACATGTTGTTTGGTTGTTTTACTCAACAGAAGTGGATTCAAGCACGGGAGAAGTTGCTTAATGAATAATATATACTTTTATCAAACTACCTGCCTTTTTCAAATCATTCTATTTTTCCCAAATATCCTGAACTTGCTTTAAAAGGACGTGGCATCATACTTCCAAGTTCAGGTTTGTGCCGCTGCCCTAGGCCAGCGAAACACCCTGGGGTGGGTCTGGGAGAACCAAAGGGCCCGATATTTGATAAAGGTTCCCATTTAATCTCGGTGACCAAAGGCAAACCACTTAATGGACTACGTTAAACCATTTCCTCGGCCCCTGCAATTGGGAGCCAACGCCAGGGAGAGGCTGAGCAAACACTCTGGGGAGAACCAGCCTCATTTGGCTTGCTAATTTTATTTGCATACCAAACACCACTTTAAACAAACCCATTTGGGTTTCTGAGCGCGAGCCTAACTCATTATTCACTATCTGCTATTTGATGACTGGGAGCCTTTCCTTTCAATAACCACTCGCAGAGCACGAGAAAAGGCCTCAAATGCAGGGAAAGCAAAGCAGGACGCATTAAAAACATGCAGCTCGGTGCTGCTGCCTCATCTTTGGCCTTTATCTCCTCAGAACAGGGCCTGAAATCAGGGCTGTCCTACAGCTGCTTGAGAACAAAGCAGTTGTTTTAACACAACGAAAGACTACCGCGAGTTTGGGCTGACTGCAGAAGAATGGCAAACAAAGGGGATTAGGCACAGCCTGCATTTAATGCTTACATTTTTTTAATTGCAATCCTCCCATAATTGGAGATGAGAAGTTTTAGGCATGGCCATGGTGGGTCTGAGCAGTCGCCCATTTCTTTCTAATTAATATCCCACCTTCCTGAACTTCTGCACACAGCAGGGTGGGATAAAACTACGCATGTTGCTTACCCTGAAGCTGATCGTGGCTTCTGAGCTGAGCCCTGTGCCCAGCCAGGACCTCAGCACTCCAGAAATCTATTTTTTTATGGAGATATTTTATGGTTTCAGTGGTAACTAAATCCTGAGATGGAGCTGAGTCGATGGGTGCTAACTGAGCATCTCTACACGGAAGCCACATTGCAAGGAAGCCACCTGAAGCTCTTAGGAGGCACTCTGAGCAATTCACAAAAAGTCTGGCTCTGCCAAACAAATGCTCAGGTTTGCTGGGCTGCTCAGTGAGAAAATATAAATAGCATGGCTCCGTGGGATGGTCCTCGTGGCTTATGCAAATCACGACTGACAACAGGCATCAAAATTTGGCCCTGGCGGATGGTGTGAGGCACACGCGGGAGTAACTCACAGCAACAGATGGGGCCCTGTCAGGGAGTGAAGATCTCGCAAGGGAGAAATAACCGGGAGGACACGTAGCCAACGGCAGTCTGGTTCTGAAAAAGGAGTTGCATTTTGAGTGACAAGAGTGTCCCAAAAAGTGGTGTGAAGTGGTGTGAGCCCAAAGCAAATGCCACAGCAGGTAACGCTGCAGAGCAGGAAACTCTCAAATGACATTTTTGGGAAAGCCCAGGCAGCCAAGTGCCCAAATCAAACTGGAATTCAACAGGATTTGGGTGCCCGACACCAGCTTTGAGGATGCCACAGATGATTTGAGAGCCTGCATCATACTGCTAGTGAATCAGCCCAGATTGTTTTATCATGGCTTCAGCCCATAATGGGATGGTATTGTGCCCACACCCCTCCTCTGGAGTTTGATTAAATAAATCAAGTGAGCAGGGCAAGGAAAGATCAATGGAGGAGACTTCCAATAGATGGTGACCCTCTGCTCTAACAACACGCAAAAGTAACACTTTGACAGGAGTTTATGCCTAAATAAATACATTAAATAAATTAAATAATAAAATAAAAAGAAAATAAAAAATAAAATAAAAAATACATAAAATAAAATAATAAAAATAAAATAAAATAAAATAAAGTAAAATAAAATAAAATAAAATAAAATAAAATAAAATAAAATAAAATAAAATAAAATAAAATAAAATAAAATAAAATAATAACCACTCTTTTTCATTCACTCCTCCCCATGTCCTTATTGAATTTCCTAGGAATTCTGCACATCGACCATCCTGGCAGTAAACCAGCACAGTTCTCCTGTAACTGGTTCCTCCAGCTCCTTACTGGTTTTTGTAACTTATTGCCTTGCGTTGTTTCCTGGTTTTGATTCTGGAACAATATGACATGGGCAAGCAGGTGGGAGGTAAGGGCTGGACTTTATTGGGCTTCATGGTGCAGCACAGGCACAAAAGCTTATGGCAATGGCACCAAGCCCCAGGCTTTTGGTGGCTGATTTGGCCTTTCTGGGAGGTAGGAAGAAGAAAGTTTAAGAGCACGTGGATGAGGGGAAGGCAGAGGATGAGGGAAGGCAGAGGATGGAGGCTGGCAGGTCAGCACTGCTTTGCTGTATCACCGCGGTGCTGGCTTGCTGGGACAGCCTCAGCGATGGTAAGGAGCAGCAAGCAGATGTGTTAGCAGAGTCCTGCGAGCAGGAAAGAGAGCTGCTCCTCCTGCCTGCAGCATTCCTGCTTTTGTTAGAGAGAAACAAACATTCACAGGGCTCGCACGCAGCCTGGCACCGCTGCTTTCCCATGGGCACCAAGCGCCGAGGTTCTGCATCATTACCAGCTGGTTCCCCCGAGCTGCAGAGCAAACATCCTGCGCTCGCCAAAGCACACTCCTCCTTGTTGTAAATGGCCCTCTGCTTTGTTCTCCACAAGGCCATCTGTCGCACGGAGACAGCTCCGACAGGAGTGGGTTTCGGTGCTCTTGAAGCTCAGCATTTCCCGTGCCACTTGCAGCAAAGCACCTGCAGCACCAAAGAGCCACCGCAGCACTGCCAACTGGAAAAAAAAAATGCAATGGGGTCATCGTGGAAAGGCTCTGCCAAGCCTGGGGACCGGGGGAGGTCACTGGATGCCAAGAACAGGTCACATCTTCAAATGGGAAAAGCCAGGGGAACGGGAGGGAAGGAGCTCAGACAAGGAGAGATTATTTAATTATTATTAGGTGGCAGCAGGTAAACGGCCAAAACGTGCCCAGGTGGAGCCCTTGGTCTCTTTGTGGGAGAGGAGAGCAGCTTGTCAGCCTGTCCTCCCCCGTTAAGTGACCAAAGTCACGTACGAGAGCTGTTTGCTTTCCTCCTTGCTCACCTTTCCTTCTGCCACCGCCACTCCTCAGGCAGCACGTCACGTTGCTCCAGCGCCTCGGCCCTTCCCAGGTGGCAGCCCCAAAGCAGAACCAGAGCAAAACACCAGGAAAAGGGCTCCCTACAAAAACAGAGCGGCAACAACAAAGCAGCAGAGGGAGAGTGAGGGGGGGACATTTTCTAAGAAACAGTCCCAGTTTCCTCAAAGCGCTGATACAAGGCCAGCTGAAAGCCGTGGAAGATTTTGCAGTTCCCCGGACTTCAGGCCAAAAGCCTGAGCTTGAGCAGGGCTGCAGGTGCTGAAAACTGGTCCTGCTACAGAATCACAGAGTTAGCTTGGAAAAAAATCAAGACCATCAAGTCTAACTCTATGATAAAGCTGGCTAGAGAAACCCCGGAGTGGAGGATTTGCCCTCCGACGATGCAGGTGTGATGAGGTGGTTTGGCTTGGCCTCGGAACACAACTGCCTCAGCAGCCAGCCAGGAAGCTTGGATTTTGGGTCTGAACCCAGCGGATTTGTCTTCTAACTCCACGGCATTGTTTCAGGATTTTGGTCTGGGTTTAATCATTAATTTCCATGAGTCTGGGGCCTGCATGCCTGCTGTGCAGTGAGAGGTGGGAGCAGGGGCAGGCAGCTGCCTCCTCTTGCTCCTCCTCCAGCCCTGCCAATACCTTACGACATACACAAGCCATGCCTGCAACTTTCGTTAAGGTGGGAGGCACTAGGATGCATTATTTAATAAGCATATCCAAGTACTTTATAATTACCAATTATCAGTCAATTCCACAATACTTAAATACTTTTTTTTTTTTACTTTTTTCTTCTTTTTCCCATCATATAGGTTAAGAAACAAAAGCCTGGAAGAGTGTATGAGTTTTTCCTATCTCTCACAGTGGATTTCTTGCATAACCAAGGGCAGATCATGCTGTCTGACCCAATAGCACTGCTGCACACAAGAAAATACCTGCACATGGCCCCACGAGTCCTGCCTAGGTGGGCTTCCCCCTCCCTGATGGTGCAGTAGCCCCTTAGAAAAGCACATTCTGTGAAAAAAAAAAAAAAAAAAAAAAAAAAAAAAAAAAAACATTATTGCTAGGAAAAAGCAATGCAAAGCTAAGAGAGAAAAAAAAAAAAAAGGGCTTGACCTCATCTTGGCTCCACAGGTAGTTTGGGAATTATTTTGTGTGCCGGGCTGGGGGTAAGCAGCCTCCCAGCATTACTAAAACATTGTTTTGCGAGCGACACGCCGTCCTGACCCTCCAGTTCGCGGTGGAAAAGGGCACGGGGAGCACAGGCGGCAGCACATGAGTCACTCCCCAGGCATCTCTGAATGCAGGAGATCGGCCAGATAGCGCCCGCTCCCACGGCAGGCAGGTGGAAACCCATGGCCAATGCTCCAGCCCCCAGTGCTTGCTGAGGCTCAGCAGCTTGCCAGTGGGAAAACCCTGCTCCCCGAGCACCACGATGCTCAGAATCCGGGGGGAGAGCTGCCAAGGCTTTGCTCACCAACCACCAGTAGTTTTCCATCCTCAAATTGCATTGATTTATAGCAAGAAGCACCAACGTGATACTCCTGCAGTAAAGCACCTTTTTTTTTTTTTTTTTTTTTCTCTACAGCAAGAAAACACTGCCTTGTCTTCATGCACCTTGCTTCCTTCTGTCACCTGCTTTAGGAAATAATTTGTTTATGGAGGAAGATGCAGCCCCTCTGAGCCCTGCTGGGGCTATGGGCTGTGAGCTTTCTGTTGCTGGTTGGTGAATGGCAAGGCTCAGTGGTTTGCCTTGAGGTTCAGCATAAGAAATGACACAGAACATTTATTTTTCAAAGGAATTTTCTCCCATTTAGTACTCTAATTTTTACTGGGTTTTAATTTTGTCTTAGAATTGTGCTCCTTGCTTTTGTAGTTTGGATTTCATGAGAACTTTGGAAAAGAAATACAACCTTATTATTGTATCTTCTATAGCAGAAATATTATTTCTTATACAAATCTTGATATATTTCATAGCCAAGGGACTAGCTCCTTACACTTGAACCTCATATGGATCCCACAGGATGGGAAACATGGAATGCAAATGGGCCGATCACACCGAAACAACCTGACTTTACACACTAAACAGACAAAATGCAGCAGCAAGCTGCCCCACCGTGTGATTCCCGAAACAGATGACTCAAACGTTGTTTGTGCAGCAAATCATGTCACAGAAACCCTTTGGCAGAAGAACCACCTTGAATTAAACATGTGCTGTCTTAGCATATCTATAACTGCTTGTGCTGGCAGCACGCATTCTTTTCTATTGCACGGTATTTTTTGGGCCTGGTTTTCCAGCATAATAAGGATTATACAATCACTCGGGCTGTTATTTCTTACTCTAATGACTTTTAAGCCTATTGGGCAAGTTCTATAAAACTCAGCAGATTTCGGAGGCCTCGCTGTGTTACAGTCCTGCAGGTGGGTGGAAGGGGAATGGATGTCACTTTGAAAGAAGTCGCAGCCTCTTTGAATTACAAGGTGAATTAAATATATATATACGTATATTCAAAAAGAAATGGGCAGGAAACCAAGTGTCCAAAGTGTGTGTAAAATCGCCTGTGTTAGGATCAAAAAATACATAGTACAAATAAAAACTTAAATCTTTTCTGGTAATGAATGCACATTATTAAAATATATACATGTATATATATATATATTCAAACAGAAGCAGGGAGGAAACCAGGTGTCCAAAGTGCATGTAAAATTGCGTTAGGATCACAAAATACATAGTAGAAATAAATGCTTAAACCTTCTCTGGTAATGACTCTCCCCTTTCCTTGCGCCGTGCTCAGAGGAAAACCGAGGCAGCCCACGTTTTGCTCCCTAACTGTCGGCCGCTCCCCTGCTGCAATTAGGCAACATTTCCTAGAGGGTGTAACGTTTACTGAAAGTATTTGCCGTGGTGTAGATTGCAACACGGCCGCCCTCCCACCCCACGCTGTTCTCTCTCGGTGTGACCAGGGAGATTAAGCCCCGGGTTGGCCACCAGAGGTAATCCAGGAAGGTGGAAGGTAAGGCGAGGACAGGATCCTGCCCTGCGCTGCAGGAGCTGTTGGAGCTAATCAGGGCATTGTGCGCCAGCAGGAACAGACGGAGAATGTTCCTGAAGGTCACCGTGACACCGGGGAGGAGTGCCAGGGTATTCATGCTACCTTGGCACGTCCACGTCGGAGGATACTGGGCCAATGCGGAGAGGGATGGAAGCTGTGCCAAATCCCACCTGCCAGCAGCTTTCCCCATCCCTGCTTTATTGGGGCAGAGGGGCTGTTACCACATGATGTATTTCAATATATATTTATTTATTTTTGAATTTTTTTTTTTTAAGCTGGATTTTCACCCTTCCTCCCTGCGGTCTCGGCCATGAGGAGCTGCTCCGTGGCCAGGGCTCCCCTTTCTTTGCAGAGCAGATTTCAGCAGCTCAGGTGCTGCAGGCAGACACGGCCAAAGTTCTCCATTCAGACCAGTAACCGAGCTGCTGTGTCTGCAAATGAAAGTGTGAAAGCCTGGCAGTAAATGCAGACCTTTCCAGGCTTTATCTTCTGGTGTTAACCCTGGAGATGACCCAACTCATCCTGCACACCTAGCCAAGGTCACACAAAAAAAAAAGCTATTTTTTGTTCCTATATCTGAAGGACGGAAAAATCCGTATTTAGAGAGGAATTTAAGGCTGCTTAAGTAGGCCTTTCTATCTTTATATTATTGACCGAGGCTCTGTTAAGTGTCAAAACCCTCCATTATTGCTGGTTTGGTAGCACACAGCAGCTGCTAGAAAAAAAATCAAGGTCCCATTGTGTTAGCCACTTTTCACTGCATTCAGACAATTCACAGTTTAACATTAAAAAAAAAAAAAAAAAAAAAAAAAAAGGTAAGGAAGGAGAGACTCCTGTAGAAACAGTAATTTATTAAAGTCATATAATGGTTCATTTAGTCATAAAACTGGCAATGGATGCACTCCATTTGGTAAGGATTTTATCTTGGGGAAGGACCCAAAACCATGGAGTTGCTCCTTTCCCATACTTGTCCCAGCACCCTCAGACTCGTTGAATCACACACAGGAATTTATGAAGGTTGAGGTGAAGTGGGGAATTCTCCTCTTGCCTTCCCTTTCTTTTCCTTAACATCCAATTAATCCCTGATTATTGTAGGCTCAGCTCAGCAGTAGCTACAGCTCAGTGGCACAGTAAAACAATAAAAGGGAATCAATAACCTAATTCCAGGCGAAATCTCAGTATTTATCAGTTAATTCACATTACGTATTATTGTATTTATTTTATTTATTTGGTACGTTTTAATTTATGTCTTTTGTGCCTCAGCTCGCTCTGCTCACATCTGGAGAGGTCTGACGGGCAGGATTCCCTCTGGCTGGGGCTGAACCCCTTGCCCAGTCCCACCAGCACCAGGTGCCACAGCAGGATGATGCCCGGAGCGTGCAGGTGGTGTAAAGGCACACGTCAGCACCGAACCCTGCTGCAGCTGCAGCTCTGTTGCACGGCTGCATTTGGCAATGCAGCACCCTCACCTTTGGCACACAGAGGGTTTGGCTGGCTCTGGAGGGCTGTCGCATTCAGCATTTTGCTTTTGGCCTCCGAGATGCTCTTCAGGAGCTTGCAGAAGGATTTGCCTCTAAAGGAGCAGGAGGATTTAGAGCACGAATTTTACCCCGTTAGCAACTCTTTCCTCCAGTACTGGATCGACTCCAGTACCCTGTCCAACAAAGTGCTGAGCTCCACAAACTCTGCCAGGAAAGCCACATTATGGATGAAGTATGTATATTCTGCTATTTAAAGTCTATATATTCTGCTATTTAAATTCTATATATTCTGCTATTTAACACCTATATATTCTGCTATTTAATGCCTATATATTCTGCTATTTAACACCTATATATTCTGGTATGTTACCCGTTGTCCAACCAGTGGTTGCTTATTTGCTCAGCAGCTCTGCCACGGGACGCCTTTATCTGAAAGCACACGTGTCTGTGGCAATCCCTGCGCGTTTTTTAGAGCCAGATCCCTTGGTGTGGTTACCAGCAGTAGCCAGGCAGCTGTTGCTAGGAGCTCGGCCCGTGGTCAGAGTGCTGAAGGCTGCCTGGGCCTCTGCGATGGCATCTTGAGCTCCGTGGAGCAGCTGCAGGTTGGGTTTCTGAGCTTCTGCTCATGCCGTGGCTCCACCACCCCTAAATCGATGAAAGAAGGCAGCCTGCGCTCTTCCAGAGCCCAAACCTGCTCCACCACAGGACCTTTTTTTTCTTTAGGAGCTCTTCATGGCCTGTCTAGAAGTCAAGTGCAAGTTCTCCCAGCTGAAGGAAGGACGGGGAGCAGTTAAAGCTCTCCAAAAGTGTTTAGAAACTGCCGAGCAAAGGTTAGAATTCCCACTACTTTTTGTTAGCAAAAAAAACGCGGTTTCATTTCATTTTCAGCCCGGAGAGAAGGGGCCGAAAGGCAAGAAGTTGTGGCTGTGCAGGATGCCTCTCTGATCTCTGTGGAGGTACGGCATGGAGCGGTTTGTCAGTAAGATGCTGAAACCTTTTTGTGTCACCTAAGGGCAGCAGTGGCCAGCTCTAAGCCCAGCAGCCATTTTCATCTGTTTTATGGCATTTAGAGTGAATATTCCAGGCCTGTCCTCCAGACGTGACTTGGAAACCCACATCCTCCCCCGCTGAGGCCACCCTCCAGAAGCTGTACATAGAAACTAGACACTATTGAGTATAGGAATAAGGCGAGGACCCCTTGCAGCCATCCCAAATCCCTGGTGGCACTGGCCAGGGGGCTGACCACGATCTTTCCTTCTGCAGACTGGGCGCCGAGATGGCCTCCGTGCCCCCCAAGAGGCAGAAGAACACCAGCCCCGTGCTACAGGGAAGGAAGCAGCAACGGGCTCAGGCCTTATCAGCTGGCAGAGGTGATTCTTGTACCCTTGGTTTAATTATTTGTGCCAAATCCTATGCCCAGCATCTGAGCTGATACCAGTATGAAGAGATCTACACCGACTAATGTGCTGGCCATTAACCAGCATGATTGCAGGCATACTGCACATAATTTATACCTTTGCAGATAAACCCTGTGAATATAAATCAGTCACTTTGCTTCTAAAATAATTCAGGACTGAAGTAATTAATATTGGCTGGCAAACATTAGTGAAATTAAAATATTTTATGCTTACCTTGTAAGTGCTTTGTTGAAAATGTGAAGGAAAAAAAAAAAACTACAACCTATCCAGTAGCAAGCAGTTCATCTAAAAAAAAAAAAAAAGATTTTATTAAGAGATAATTTGTCTCTAATGCCATAAATTTACAATGACTAAAACAATATTAATATTTTTCTGATGTATTTGTTGTTGAATTGAATTCCATGCATTGGCAGTAAAAATACACTTTTTTTCTCCAAATGAACACCTTTTTAATAAAAAGGAAAGCTTTAGGGTAGTGGTTGTCTGATGATGATTAGAAGATGATTAGATTTAGCTTTATTGTGCTGGTCAGGTGTGCAGCCCGAGGTGAAATGGGCATGGCCAGGCACTAGGAATGCCCCCTGCGTGCCTGGCTCCACTTACCTTGCTAGCAATTAGCTGTCTGAGGGTGCAAAACATGCCGATGAAGGCTAATGGGATGCTAAAATAATAACTATCAACAGACTCAATGAAATGAAAATTCATCTTTAACACCAGGATGTTCCATAATTAGAAAATAAGATAAGAGGCTCCCATCCCCTGGGTCTCTGTATAGAGATTAGAGAGGGAGAGACACGAACGTGTTCAGACTGATGGAGGAGCAGCCTGGAGCTCTGCAGTCACTGCAGGATAGCTCGTGTGCCTACGTCCCAGGGTAAATGGGACTGCTTAAAACCAGGTGATCTCTTAGCAATCCAGGCGAGGAGAGGGATGCTAAGAGACATAAACTCATACAGGAGGTATGACCAAGCGATTAAAGGTTAAGAATAGATAAATAAATATTCACATTCCCATCTCAAAGAGTAGCAAGAGCAGCATGGTATCACACAGGTGCTAAGGAGGGCAACAATTTCAGGTGGAAGATGCCAGCAACTAGCAGGGAGGCACAACCTTCCATGTGCTGCAAACAGCTGAGCTGTGCTGCTCTCCTGCATGCCACTTAATTGACCTGACACTTAGCGTAATAATAATATAATAGCATGGATATTGCTGTAGTGTGCAACACTAAGGGCTTTTACAGTCAGAACCCCGTGGTGGCCAGTAGAAGCAGAAATTTCAAGTGGGTCCCGCCTCGAAGAGTTTGCAATCAACTTCGTGTATTCCAAAATAAACTGAGCCAAGTGTGTGAGCCTGGTGGGAAACCGCATGGGCTGCACCTGGTGCACTGCATTCACAGAGGAGTGCAGCGAAGACATAAAATAAATGCTTGTAAAATACGAGATACCAACGCCCAAAACCTTTGCTCCAATTTGAAGGAGATTTGTCACTGGGTTAGTAGGTTTTACTCAAGCGATCACGGGATGTAATACAGAAAACAATGATAAAAGAGCAGTCCAAAGGGTAGATAACTCCAGTCTTGTCATCTGCTGGCTTCCTGCTGCCTCCTTCCCTGCTACCACCCTGTTCCAGGGGGAGCAGCACTAGGGTGGAGAAGATTTTTTGTCTATTCCCAGGCTCTACTGTTCCCAAAGGTCTTGTGCACGTGCAATAAAAAACGGAGGCGTAGCTTCTCAGTCCCCTGGAACTGTTAGGCCTTCAAATGTTTTTCGTAGATGCCTGGCCAGTGATCTGCATCTCAATAACCCAAATGTGAGCTATACAAGTAGTCATGAGCCGTTCATTTGCCATGCATTATACAGGAAAAAAAAAATAAAGAGGAAGGTCTGCAACTGACGTTTTCAGCCTGGTTTATCATTCCTGGAAGGGCAAGCAAGTCAAAGTTCTTCGCCACTGCTAGAGCCAGATACAAGCGCTCTCGTTCTCCTCCAGAAATGACACAGCAGCACTTTACAGATTAGGCAGATCCCATTAACTTTGTATCGAAAAAAATGATTATGTCCTATATATTCATCAGCTTCTGAGCCCTGGGAGCTGAGAATAAGCAACAGAACCATGGCAAGCTCTGACATGATTAGTTTCCAATCTGAAGCAGGGTGTTTTTCATTCCCACCCCTTCAGTCACTGTCACCACAATTCCCATATGCCATTCCACTTCGTGGCTGCCTGTCGGGGACCTCAGAGCTGTCACATCCTGGGCTCGTCAAAATTCCTGTTGGCTTTAAAAAATTAAAGAAATCTGTTTCAATGTACAATGTATGGCTATCACTTTTCAGAAGGCTTTTCTTGCCCTTCTTTTTTTTGCCCCCCACTCCAAGACCTGGCAGTCTGTGAGGCTTTTCTGTAGCTGATTTCTGCTCATTTTATGGCACTTTTCCACTTGATATACTACCTGATTGCACCATCAGGTTACATCAGCAATAATGTCTGAATTGTTTTAAGACTGCACCAGCAATGGCTATAAAGTCAATTTAAGTGATCCCTTACAATATTTTATTCTGTAGCAGCTGCCTTTTTACACATGCGTTTTATGGAGAAGATCCCAGATCATGTGAAGTTTCTCAATTTTAATTTTTGCAGCTATTTCTACTGCCTCTGAGCTGGAGCTTGATGAAGCCAAGCCTCACAAGAATAGAACAGTGTGGTAAGGCATGCCCTCGAGAAATACAGCCCGAAGTAGTGATACAAGAGGAGCCAAAGGGACCAGGACCTTATTTTTATATCAGTGGATCCAATGGAGCTGGACTGTAAGTAGGTCCTCTCAGCAAATTCATATGAAGAATATTGTGACAATATATGAAAGCACACATCAGCCATTAGCATCAAATCAGTTCCTTTTTACTTGGTGTCTTTCTGGAGTGGCACACACAAGCAATGGTTTTAAAATAATTCAGATGGAAAGTACCTATTGAAAAAATAGCTGTGGTAAAATAGTTAACTGCTATCTCTATGCAAAGAAACTAAATACTTCTGTTTATTTGATGAAAGTTTCTCTTTTGGGGCTGTTCAAAAATCACTTAGCTACTCCACATAGCAGATCAGCTAGCATCATCACTAGAGCTAGGCACCACTGTTGTTGATCAACACATTTGGCTAAATGCAAAACAAGCAAAAAATAAGAAGAGATTTCTGCCCAAGGAAAATTGTCAGATCAGAAGTTTCATCTTTCCCTTTCCAGCATATTGACACTCTTCTCTAGACGCTGTCACCAGCAAGCAGCACAGAATGGCTGCTGTAAACAGCACGCTCCTTGCTGAATTTCCATAGCTTTGTCTACAAACAGCTTTTCCTATTGCTACTTGTCATCTCTCCTTGCGCTGCTCGGCAGAGGTGCCTCGCTAAGACTGGACCGCAATGCAAATCATTCCTATTCCACCGGTACCTCGTGCATCCTGCTTGAAATAACCCTGCTGTAATGGTGCAAGTTCTCATTAGTGCTGCAAAATCACCATGTCCTTAGCATCCAGGTCCCCTTGCAGCCATCCTAATTAATGTTTCCCACCTTATCCCCCACCCAGGGACTCCTGGGGGTGTTAGGTCAGGCTCCCAGGGAAAACTGCAAGGAGTTCAAGGGACGGGAGCTGAGTAAGTCTTTGTTACTGGAAGGGGGGCTACTTTGCTATTTTGTTTTCCATATGCAGTGTGAGCATCTATTGCCAGCGCAGAGGCTGGCAGCGTATCTATGACAACAGAAGACAGGATTACGCGCTGAAATGGTGTGAGATCAAGTGCCGAGAGACCTATTACCATTTCAAAGAAGGTAGAGGTGCCACTGGGTCTTGAGTGGGAGAGGGCAGTGGGAAAAAACTTGAGAACGCTGGGCTTGTGGCTCCCGGGGCGGAGGAGGTCACCTGCGGGGTAGGAGAACCAGGTAACCTCAACTCGTTGGCAGACCTCGGCGGGGATATCGGAGCTGGATTGCCATGGTGATTAAAGAAAGGGTTTTAGACAAGAGAGCAGCTTTGGGAGAAAAGATACCATTGAAATGAATTAAACACAAAGCGTCATAATCGCTTCTGAAAGGTGGCCCTCCCTCTGTGGATTCGGGCCCGCGCAGGCCGCAGTAGGGCCGAGGCTGCCCTGCAGCACCGGAGCAGCGAGCAGCCTGCTCTGGCACCTCGTGAGCACTGGGCAAAGCTCTGCATGCAGAGAGTGCCCCACAGCGAGGGGCAGCCCCACAGCCTTTTCCAGGCAACGGTGCACACATAGATAAAGCAGCAAAGCTCAAGTTGGGTCACCCCATAGGCCCCCCAGGCCCGGCTGTCTCTAGGGAGAAGGGAGTCCCTAAAAGCCAAACAGCTCTGCTGTGCTGACAGCCAGCCTTTTGAGCTGCTCTCTACCCTTGGTCCCATCAGTGCATCCAAATTCCCAGGGCCCAGCCACCTCTCCCACCAGTAGTGAGAGTCAGCAGTGACCAGGTCAGCTTCACCCTCCACATTCTCCTGCATGCGGCAATGAGAACAAGCTTTTTTTTTTTTTTTTCTTTTTCTTTTTCCTTACACAGGTGAACAGCTTCTCTACCAGATTCCTAACAACAGAGTCCTCACCAGTAAAATAGGGCTTTTATCCTGCCTGAGAGAGCAAGAGCGGGTGATGAAAAAGGTCGGCAGGAGCTCTAATTCCAAGTAAGAACTCTCACTTAGTTGAACCTTGAGCAGAAACTTATGCCAAGCAAAAGTGAGAGCACATAAACAAAGGAGCAGCTTCTTCTGGATGCATAAAAGTACAGGACACAAATTATATGGTGTTTTATTTTCCTTATTGTCCGGAAAATCATCCTCCCCACCCTCCCCACTACTCCTCCCATCTCCCCTCCTCCAAAGTACCTACATTAAAGATTGAAATATCTGGAGTTGTACAAAGGCCAGGTCTCCAAAGACAGTGGTCGCAATAATTCCCCTCTTTTGGGTGCCTTCTCCTACTGGAAAGGTCACAACCTCTTGTGGCAGAGACACTGTAAATATAAAAGCAGTTTATTGCCATCTCTGGTCCTCTATTTTTGACATATCCATAAAAAAAAAAAAGAAAAAAAAAGGCAATCCTATACCACGGTTACCTGCAGCCATCTCAGTTTTCAAAAGAAATGAGCATATGGAGAATGTCTTAAGGTTAAAATATATTCTTGAAAGTGGATGGAGTGAGGTAGCTCAAGAAAATAAACAAACAAAAATATCTGTCTACAAGAAGAAAAAAAAACCTCAAGTGTCTTGCAAGCACCCTTTCGGAAAGTAACCAAGGAATTAACATATTGGATAGGGTTTTCAACTTGTGTTTGATTTTCCCATAGGTTACTGAAGATGGAAGAATTCTTCCCAGAATCTTTTCGCCTGGACTTAAAAGATGAGAGAAATGCCTTTTCTGAGCTTTGCAAAGGTGAACAGTCTTCATTGTGGTAGCAACCAATTCAAATAGCTACATGTTCCTCTAAGAAATTAATTAATGTAGCCACAGTAATAACCACTGATGTCCATCGGTGATGCCTGTGTGTGTGCAGATCCATTCACTTGTTGAAGCGAGCAGTTTTCAGAGCCCAGGAACTAGCACACCGGTGTTTCCCACCCCACAGGTCACTATAACAAACTCCTTCTCTCTGCAGAAGAACAGATTTGGATCTGCAAGCCAAGCTGCTCTAACCAAGGCCGAGGAATTTTCCTCCTCAAAAACCCCGCTGCTGCCAACACCCTTCAAGCCAAGCTCCACGGCTCCGAGGGAGACCTGCCCAGCAAGAGGGTGCAGTGCAGGGCTCCCCAGGCGAGAATAGTGCAAAGGTAGAGATCGAAGCCTGGGAATCCACGCGTGAGTAGTGTGCTTAACTAAGCCATACTAGCCCCAGTGCATTATTTTGTTCCATAGGTGTTTAATATATTTATACCACATCTTCCCATCGACATATTTTTGTGGGAGAGAGGCTGTTTCTCTGGTTAGTCTGTCTTGCCTCGACACTTCAGTCATTTCAAGGCAGATCTTTGCCATCAGAAAGAGTTTACCTTTGTCTGGAAATTTAAGCAGGGCTTCAAAAGGCCAGGTGCTACCTTTCTGTACATGACAAAAGCCTTGCGTGCAGTTATTTAAACTAGGAACTAGTTTAAGCTACCCTACCTGAGTGCTCATCTTGATTTCTAATAGCAAGGAACTGGCTTAGGCTGTGAATAACGAGGCTCCATACGCCTTTGAAAACTGTTAGCACTGATTGTTTTAACAGCTTATTCTTGGTATTTGTGTGGGCATCCAGCAACCTTTGATGATAAAAGGAAACAATTCCCAGATGACATCAGACTGGCAATAAAAGCAGTGGTGCTGCATGAAGGGTTCTTTGTGTTCAGACAAAATTTCTGTATTCTCCAGTAAATATTAGTAAATCTTTAATTACCTTCTGAGACTCAGCACAGCTTCTGTTCCTCTGGAATCCGTTCCTAGCACTTCCAGCCTCTCTTCTGAGCGCCCTCTGCTGCCACTCACCTTAAGAAATGTTGAAACAAGGACAAACATCTTTGTTCCGTGGTGTGAAATGAACTGGCCGTGGGTTTTGGGGTGAGCTTTGAACATACCTTGCATTACGGCTGCCTGTTGGTGACATATCTTGCATTGCCCTCACAGGTACATCCACCAGCCTCTGCTCCTGGAAGGGAAGAAGTTTGATGTCCGGTCTTACCTGCTCATTGCCTGCACAGCACCCTATGTGTTGTTTTTTGCCCAGGGTTATGTCCGCCTGACCTGCACCAATTACGATGCCATGTCTGACGATCTGACCGTTCATCTCACCAACCAGGTGAACCAAGTGCACTTAGCTCAGAAGAAGGGGAGGAGAGACTACAGAGAAGGGAAGCAAAAAAAGCCTTGAAAGGCTGAAAATATGCCTCGTGCACCCATGAAATGGAGGCTGAACAGAAGTAGTACTCTCTGCCATGGACCAATTTTGTGCTTATGCTGACAATTTCCTTCCTTGGACCTCTTCCTCCTGGCATTTTTCTCTCATATATCTGTAGAGATGAAGCCTTTGACAGGGGCTACCTAGCACAAACGAGCCTTAGACTTGGCTAAGGATTTTGCTGATCTTAAAGGATTTTGCTGTGTTTAAACGTGATAATCATAATGATGTAAGATGCAGATGTGTTCTCCAAGAGCCGTCACTCTTAAATCTCCACCTTGGCTTCTCAAATGAGACTTACGCACCAAGACTCCTTTGGCACATATTCCCATCCCATTTTGTCATACAAAATAGAAGAATTTCTTAATTAAAACTACCTGAGGTTTTTTTTTTTTTTTTTTTTTTCCTTTATATAAGCCACTTCAGTAGTTAGAACTGAACTTAATTTAAGAGAATGAAAAGAATTGGAAGGGAGAAAACAGTTTTGCTTTTAAAGCCCCTCTCCCAGTATAACACTGTATTCTGAAAATGGGCAAAATATGCATTAGGGAGCTATGAGAGAAGCCCGCTTCAGTTCTTGTTGGAGTTTTACAGTTCCTGTAGGAGCACAGTTCAGGACAGCAGATTATAGCTGCTTCCTGCAATATATGCTATTATCAGTACGCTGCTTGTTTTCCTGGAATAGTTTGTTTGCTCAGGTAGAGAGCTATCCACTCGGGAATTCAGGTGCTTGGGTAGGATCCCATGGCACAAGCGACATTAAACAAAGGACAGGTGTTTATTAGCAGAACATAAATTACCTAGGTTCCTGCTGGGAGGAGGGAAACTAAATTTACAGGAGCAGCTGGTAATAGGCCAGGCCTCGAGTCACAGTTGATTCCGCCCTTGTTCCCCTCCTACCCCAGGAGTGATAAGCTCCAGCTGACCTAGGGGTTAATGAGACAGTGGAAGAGAGGAATTGTTTGGAACCAGACTTGGTCCAAAGAATATCATGACTATGATTTGAAAACACCTCTGCCCATCTGCCAAGCACTGATGCAGATGCATCATACATGCACACAGAGAAAACACTGCTTTGACAGAGCTTGGATAGCTGTCTCCATGCTGTCCATGTGTCAGGCACATCTCTGGGGCAGTGCTCTAAGTGACTCCCAGTGCACTTGCTCAGATTTATATCTGCTGGTGAGGGGCTCTCATCCCTCCATGTCAATAACGTGATCCTGGGGTTCCTCTCAGCTCCAGCTCCTTGGAAAAACTCGGGGTGCTTTGATGTCTGCCAGAAACCTAATCCTCCCTTTGCTCTGTCCCCTGCCTTGCAGTACATGCAGAAGAAGAACTCCCTGTACAGCCAGCTGAAAGACGAGACGGTTTGGCGGATGGAGCACTTCAACAGCTACATTAATGAGAAGTTCACGAAAACCAACAGCCTCCCCAAGGACTGGGTTTTCACCGTGTTTACTGTGAGTGCAAGCGAGTGTATGGTGTGAGTCTGCCTAATTAGGGTGACTGGAGTAGGGAGGAAAACCTTCAGTTCAGTGGAGTCCCTAAGGAAATGTATGCACCGAGCGAAGAGGTATTGATGGTCCCATGGTAACCATTTGCCTGCAGATGATAAACACAGAAATCAAGACACACAGAGTTTAATTTTAGTGGTTAATAAAATGGGTAAACTGCTGATAAAGAGACTGTGAATGTACGTGCTGGCATAAAAACACAATTCGGTCCTTCACGTTCCTCACCCAGTGCTGTGGTCCTGCGCTGAAAACCAAGCTACACATCAGAGAGACCTCTTAGCCTGCAAAGGGACTACCCTTACAGTGGTCTCTTCCCTGTCTGGCTTGGTCTCTCTCTTCACTTTTGACACGACTTTGCCACATGAAAAGCATATCAGGGCCTGAGATCTCTCATGGAGGAGAGATGAAAGACTCAGCTGGCTTGATTTCTCACCATCTTCCTGTCTCACAGAGGAAACGCAGCAAAGAAATTATCTGAGTGCATGAGACTTCATCTCATCAGCCTGAGTCTAACGATGCCTCACTAAAAATCATCATTAAAAATTGCATAAACAGCCCATTCTGAGTAAGGGACAAGGGCCGAGATCCCTACAGGAAACAATTTCTAGAGAACCAATTTAAAGAGGGGGCTTCATCAACTCAAAGTGGACAGGCATAAAGTGTTAAAACACAGCAGCCCTCCAAGTCTAGAGAGGGGCTCTGCTAGAGGCAGGGGAAGAAAAAGTGTCCCTAAACCAAGAGGACAGCAGTGATTTGCAGTCACTCCCGTGCCCTTGGCATTGACGGTGATCTGTTATCCCCGCTCCCTGTCTTTCAGAAGAGGATGCAGCAGATCATGTTGCAGTGCTTCCTGGCGGCCAAGCACAAACTGGATCGCAAACTGGGCTACTTTGACCTCATTGGCTGCGACTTTTTAATCGATGAAAACTTCAAGGTATGACTAAAATATTGCCAAATGCTAAGTATGATATTGTCCAGGTGTCTAATGCCCACGGCGCAGAATGGTTGACACAGGCTTTGGCACTAGGAATTAAATAGAGGAGACATTCAGCCAGCTGTGAAGGATTTATTTTTTTCCCAGTTCCATTGTCCAGCATCAAGACATGGCACCTATACAGCCTGCACATCTACTGCACAGAGAAACCCTGGCATTAACAGCTCAGGAGGGGAAGAAAAATATTTACTGCAGCAGAAACTGTTCTGTGCAGAATTTTCTTGGTAAAATAGCGTTCACAGCGAGAAGCATGGGCATCGTGATGTCCACTCAGTTGATAGCAAACATATTGGAATTTTAATGTCCGCTCAGATTGTTTATCTCTCCAGAAACCAAACATGACAGGCAATCAGCCAGCACAAATGATTTTGTAATGCTGCTAATGTCACGTGGAGTCTACTGATTTACACGAGCTGAGTACCCAAGAAAGGACTCGCCTTCAGCATACGGCAGAATCAGTCATTATCGATTCCCATGTCAGCATCAGCACCTCCACGTTCATTGTAGGTTTAGCATTTAGCAATAGGTCAGCCCGCCGAGTCTATAAAACCTGCTAGAATTACAGTTCAAGCTCGTGAAGAGTGAATGAAACTCAGGCAAGAAAAGCCAGGAGAAAGGGAAAGGGAAAGGCTAAATACAGCGACTGAGCTGCTTCAAAACCCACCTGATCTAAACATAACAGAAAGCCATCTGGCAGATTCTGCTGTTGCTAAAGCAGAAAGGAACTCAAACATATTCCAGCAAAGGGCAGTGGGAACAGCAAACCCTATGAAAGAATGGAATTAATGTATGCAGCGCCCAGACAATAGCCTCCTTTGTCTGGGAAGTCAATGGCAAGGAGGAGTAAATGGGAAAGACACAGAAAGTGGTGCTTCTCGAATGTCAGAGGCAATTGTCTTTTGCAATGTTGGCATGCAAAGTCCCGGCTGTGTAAACTTTAAGTAGAATAGAAGATCCAGTGTCACTCTATTGTGGCAGTCCCTACCTGGCTAGTTAAAAACTTGAGTATTTAAAGACCATTACATCCCTGTGCATTTTACATACGGAGAGATAAATTAAATATGTTTCTTGACAAGTGCTATCGGTAAGAATGAGGAGGATTTCTGGACGCTTAGTGGTGATGGAGTCGGTTGGAACCTGCAACATGCATTTGAGAGAGGGTAAAGTGGAAATTTAGGCATTTATTTAAGCATAGGTTTGTCTATGCTCCATTGGGGAGCAATAAACCAACAGTTTTATTTTTTAACACTGCTCTGTGCAGTGAACTCTGTCCTCTGTGAGTTACCATTACAATTCCTGGTCTGACATCCTGCCCTCTCCACCTGTAATACACAACAGCCTTATGCTCCCTGGCATCCTATTTGAGGACATGTGCAGAATTTGCTTTACATTGATTTAAAGTGGTCTTGTGTTCAGTCCTAGAGCTCCTCATGCTCTTCCTTCCTCCTTATCTGAGATACAAATGCCCCCAGCATCACTCCTAATAATTCTTGAAGACTCTGCAGCATCCTGGCCCAGTCCTTGGAAGGTGCTTTCCTGCCTCAGAGTTCCCAGAAGCACAAATCATGAAAGCTGGGCCTGCAGAGAAACCACAGCTTTCTGTAGAGCTTTGCATGTTCATATGGAGACTGAGAAGAACAAAGTACTTTGAAGAGGAGAGCAAAAGTGATGGATGTGGTTTTACTGTTACTGTTTCTTTTTCTCTCTCTCTCTCTTTTTTTTTTTTTCTATTTTTTTTCCTGGAGCTTCCTAGTGTTGTATTGTAAATGCCCAAGCCACTACACAGCTTTGGACACTGTGATTTAAAAGCCCAAGGAACCTGTTTTCGAAAGCATTGCATCAGTGGTGCAAAAGGGCTTCTCCAAAGAAATGCTGGGAAGATAAAACGTATAAATTTTTCATCAGCCATAAAGAAATTCGGCTATCCATCACGAGAGAAGAGACTGAATATAGATAAGCCATTTGCCAATTTGTGATAGACGTACATAAAAAAAAAAAAAAAAGATAACCCTCAAATCCTTTGCTAAAGAAGGGCTGGTCCCTTGGATTGGAACCGGTACCACAAGGATGCTGCAGAGCTGGATGTGCCCACACCACACAGAGCACAGAACAAGTTATTTTATTCCTGTTTCCGACTGGCATTTCTGTGCTGCTTAAAGCTCCAGCCAGAGGTCAGGCCCCCAGCACACCTGCTGCTAGAGAAACTCAGAACAAGGCAGCCCTGCTGCGGACAGCTTGGGGCTCTGAGCAAATTCCAGCCAACCTCTGCAGGATCTGCTCATGCTGCATCTGGCCCTACACAAAGAACCAGGAATGAGACCTCAGATCACGGTGTAATGCAGTTAGAGGCTGCAGCTGGCATGCTGTTTGAGGGCCTATGGAAAAATCCTGCTATTTAAGGTTTTTAAGCCTACCTGTGATGCCTTGATGTGCAGTTGTTTTGGCAGGCTCCAGGGAGCAGGAACCTCATCACTAGCAGAAGCATCCAGAGCAGCACTGCTTAACCAAGCACCAACCTCTTATCACTTGGAAAGCCTAAAGAAAAAGGATAATCTATGGGTAGGAGGTCAAGAACAGATTTTTTGGGTTTTGGCTCCTTTGCCATATGTTTGCTATGAAATTTGGAGCACGGCACCTGCATACCAGATGCAAGGAGGAGTCTCAGGTTTTTTAATTGTACACAGCTCCCCATGAACATTGCAGGTAGTCACATGGATATGCAGGATCTTGGCTTTATTCTCTCTGCTTTCCCTGAAACAGAACAAAAAACATTTCTTAACTTGTCCTGGTTGTTGAAAGCATTTTAAAAACCTGGGAAACTCTTAAGTAGCACAATGTAAAAGATGCACAGTCTGATAGATGTGAACACTTCCTCCTGCTCATCAGTTTTGTTTGTTTTGAAGGAGAAGGAACCAAAACCTAGTCAAGACAATTATAAAGGTTCGTTGAGTTTGTCTGTCAGCAGAAAACCTTATGAACTTTTAATAGGAAAAAGGAAATTTACTCAGAAGAAAGTTTGCCAAGAAAAATGAATGTAACGTAGGTGCCCTCTGTTGGCATCTGCAGAGCAGGTTAGTTTTGAGCAGCTGTCCCAGTTCCCCTCTGGAAAAAAAAACACAGACATTTCACCACCCTCACTTATCAGTCTTCTCATTTGTTTCAATACAGTATTTCAAAGAAGCGAAAATTATTGTTGCATTTTATTCTCAGCAAAAACAAAGTGCAAAAGTGAAAGCTATCACGTTGCCAAAATCTACCACCCACATTTCACAGTTACGTGCAGGCAAACTCATTGCTGCTTTAGGAGGGGAAAAAAAAAAAAAAGAGAGAGAGAGAGAATATATGTTTTAAAAATTCAATTAAAACAGCCTGGGGCTGTTGCATGATTAAATATCCTTCCTGAAAAAAAAAAAAAAAAATCAAGTAATTCCTATACGTCTTCTATACAAGATGCAGCACCATATGGCAAAGGCAGGAAGTGAACAGATGAGTTTCATTCATGGCAGGGAAAAGAAATAGTAAACAGAATTACATTTGAGTCAACTGTTTGGTTTCACATAGACTTGTAACTGGACCATCACATGCTGCAGCTAGGAGCTGCATACTTTGCCATGTCAAAGGGAAATAGAGATGAAACTTGTGTGGATACAAAAAATGAGTATCTTCTGTGGCTTCTACCTAAAACCAACACCCAGGAAATCAAGGCCAAGGGCTGATGGAGAACTCAGTGCCGTTTGCTCAGTTCTGACCCCATTTCTACCCCAAATCAAAACATGATTCCTAGATTCCTTGTATCTTTCACATGACTCAAAAAACTCAACTCAAAACCACTACAGAAATCAGTATGTTAAGAGACACAGTGCCTTTGCACGCCCATAGAGCAGGAGTTTAATCTAAAGACTATCAGCTGGAAACACAAAATAATATGTAGTGTTGTTCTCAAGTAACAAAATATATGCAAAATTGAATGTTATTTGATTCAAGTCCTTCTGAAAATGCTGTCTTACCTGCACTCTGTGCCAGGACACCTTGTTGGGATTTACTCATATTTTTACATCTCCAGGTGTTTGCTAAGCCAGTCAAATGACATTGCTGTGACTCTGAGTGGATCCAGCCTGCTTTCCTGATTGATGTTCATCTTTCCTAGGTCTGGCTTCTGGAGATGAACGCGAACCCTGCATTACACACCGACTGCAAAGTCCTGAGGGACATCATCCCCGCTGTGGTCTACGAGAGTCTTGGTAAGTGAAGAAATCACAGTGGCCAGAGCAGATAACGATATCACCCTGCTGCTTGTCGGAGGAGATCCTTGTTGATATCAGTTGTAGCTGCAAAATAGCCTTGGAATAAAGATATCTTGCTGCTGAGTGCATGTCATATGGAAAGCACTGAAATTCTACACGACACAGATCCAGAAAAGCTAAGGTCTTGTTAGCCATGCTCCCACTAGAAAGGAATAAGTGGTGTTTTTTTTTGTTGTTTTTTTTTTTGTTTGTTTGTTTGTTTGTTATAATTACTTTTAGAAATGCTTTCATATAAATTTATGTACAAAAGACTAACCCTTCATACGTGACCCTGTAGGTGCACCTGCACATTTTCTCCATGCTTGTTGCTCTGCCTGCACAGAGCTGAGGTCGGTTTGTGCAACACACCTTACACAGCCGCAGCAGTGCTTGGTGCAGTTGTAGCTCCTGCTGTGCATTACCAATTTGGCTGACAACTGTTACCTGAACTGTACAAAGACAGAAAAAAACCCTTATGCAGCCTTATGTACCTTAACTAGAAGTGGTCCTACCTGGAGGGATGCACCAGAAGGCCCCTCGAGGTCCCTCTCGCCCCTGGTTTTCTGTGTTTTTCTCCATGTGCATAAGGAGAAGCAGTAAAGGGAGCATCTCTCTCTGCATGACACATACTGGTGACAGCCTACTCATGCTTTCTTTCATAAATACAGTTACCTTGCTGTACATATCTGCCTGTATTTTGTGGGGTTATTCATATTCCGTATTGCACTGTCAACACCTATATAATATTTTCCCTACCATTTCCCTAAAGCGTTGCCAGTGGGGCTGAAGTGAATGCAAGAAGAGCATGGGGGCTGTGTTTTTATTTTCTTAGTTTCATTGTCTTAATAGTCCACGGAGGCCACAGATCACAGGCTGGAAATCACTTCCCCCCTGGCCCACACACACAGCTGCATTGTGTGCAGCTGCCTCGTGGGCAGACGCGATGAGCTCGGGTGCATGTTGTCCCCGGGGTGCTCAGACCACCTCCTAACTGCAGCTTCTCTTCCAGATCTGGTTCTCGAGATCTTCAACAAGTGCCTGAAAGGCCAGAGCGTGCTGCCTTTGGAGACACGCTGCCACTTCGTGCTGCTCTACAACGAGGATGCCGCGGACCTCGGCCAGAAGCAACTCCTGAAGCTCAGACCTGGGCTGTGCATGGGACGGTACCTGCGGCCACACACGGACAGTGCCAGCTACTTTGGGCACAGCCCCACCAAAGAGATGGACGCTTCTTCCAAAAAACTCAGTTGCTCGAAAAGAAAAGTCGCCTTGTTGCCTAAAAGGACTTGCCAACAAACCATCTCCTAAGCTAACACGTGCAGCTCCTCGACCACCACGGATAAACACACTGAGCTACCACAGAGCAAGAGGGTTTTGACAACTTCAAATATAGAAAGGAAATAAAAGCTAAGTTTCTATGTACTGTGTGTCCCGCTCTTTTTTTTTTTTTCAGTTGGTTTAAAGAGAAGGTGTGAACTGGAACGCCAGGCAATGATGTGTTTTGTTCTTCTGCAGAAAGCAGCCAGCCAGAAACTAGAGAAAAATTACAGAAAATGAGACCACCGCTACCACATTAAAAACCATCCCTTTTAAAAACAATGTTGATCTCACAGGTGCAAGCCAGAAACCGGCCAACTTTTTTACCAAGTCATTCTCCAGAAAGGCAGGGAGACCAGCTGCAAAGACTAAACCCAGGGCTCAACAGCAGAACCCCCCCCACCGGTCCCATAACTCCCTCCCTCCCCAGCTGTGCCTTGCACATTTAACTGCGTTATATTAAGAGTCTCTTTCGTTTTTCATTTGGTTGAGGTGACAACCACAGAGCAGCACATGCTTATCACATCGAGGCCATCATCGCAGCAGGAAGCAATGACGCTTGGGGGACCAAGGAGACGAGGAGGGGGGCGAGAGGTTTAAAACCAACAGGAAATGCTTTCACGTCTCAGATGCTGCTGCTGCTAACACAAGGAGAATGTAAATGAGCAGCGAGTGGAAGGGTGCATGCGTGCTGCCTTCCCCTCCTGTCCTTACTCTGACTGACTGCCACTCAAGCACATTCATGCGATCCTCTGACTGCCAGCATCACTTTGAAGCCAGCATCTGGGGACGGGGGAGCCAGTGACCGAGGATGGGATGCTGCAGCCTGAGTGCCAGGCAGGCTGGGTCTGCAGGAACAAGCCAGGACGAGGTGGAGCTATTGAAGACAGGCAGGACCAGGTAGGAAGCAGTTCTGGGGGTGTGAGAAGTGCCAACCATCAAAGAGAAAGGTGCTGACAACTGAAATCCGATGTCTGTGTTTGCTTGCCAAATGGCTCCCTTAAAAAAAAAAATAAATAAAAGAAAGGAAAAAAAAAAAAAAAAGAGCTTTTGCTTCTTCCCCTTTTCTAGACAGTATTTACAGTAACGCTAAATGTCAGGCACTTCTAACTAGAGCCTGCCTACTTCTCCTTAGTAGATCCCCTTAGGTGTCACAGTCCTTTAAGGTAGAACCTGCAGGTGGGAATACTCCCCCCTGCCAGGGATGTAAGGCTCTTTGTGCCCGTGCAGCAACCACAACCAAGTCCTGGGGCTCTGGCGAGCACTGCTCTCGTCTCGTCGGAAATAGATGGTTTCACTCGGTGACACATGCCAGAGGCAGTCAGAGGCCTGAGGAAGCTCAGGAGGCCCTTAGCCCTGCTCCCTCCTCTGGAGCAGCCTCAGCTCTTCCCAAATCTTGCTTGGCAGATGCTTGTCTAGCCTGTCCTTGAACAGCTCCAGTGATGAAGGTTCAGCAGGCAAGCCATGGTTTCTCCCCAGTAGCTAACCTCTAAGGCAGGTAAGGCCATTGTCTCTACCACAAACAGAAAGAAAAAAAATAAATCCCCTCCTCTTTCTGGCGGTCTTTTCCATCTGTTACCATACCACCTAAGCGTTCTGTACTCCAGGCCAAGTGTTGAGCTGTTTCCTTCCATAATTTCACCAGATGCCAGGAAACGGGGTCGTTCTTCCCTTGTCCATCCAGGCAGGCACGCTGAGAGTGCCTCCGTCATCCTTCCCACACAAAGCCAGCAGAAAAGCCTAAATGAGTCTAAATGCTCTGATGAATTCAGGCTACGGTTTCTGCTTAATGTGAGGGGGCCTTTAGCATTATCTTTCCCAGAGGTTCAGCTTTGTTATTCCTTGACATGCCTGCTTTCTGATTCTGCATCTACTGCATTTTTCCCTACAGTTCACTGAGCTGTTACCAGCCAGTCTTCATGCCTAAACCAGAATATTTTAGTATACACAAAAAGTATGTCAGAAATCCATAAATTTGTCTGCTGACTGAGCACAAATCCCTCTCTTTTAGACACCATGTGAAAGTGCCTTTCTATGCCTTTCCATCTCCTCTTCCATTTCAGAAAGTGGTCCATCTCAGACGGCCAGAGCGAGGGATCCCTCCAGCCCAAGGACCCTGCAAGCCCCACGGAGACAGAAGAGGTATGAGCAGCAGGGTCACACAATGCCGAGATTCATATGAACCAAGGAAGAAATCAGAGCCCTGTCAATCTCACCCACCATGGCATTATCCCGATGCAGTGTCCCATTACAGTAAAGTGCCAAATGCTGAAACATTCCCTTTACTTTGAAAGCAAAAAAAGTCCTGTCTGTTTCGAGGCCCAGGTATAGTTTTCCAGCTTGCTTTCTACAGCTTCACATACATGAAAGCTTGTCACCACAAGTCAGCTGGGGAATTTTTCCTGGGACCACGTTTTATTACCGTTGCTGAGAACATGCCCAGAGAGAGAGGAAGAGATCCATGGAAATTCACACACACTGCCAACATCCCAATCTCCCATAGTCTGGGCAGAAAAAGCACACCCCCTCCCCTCTCTTTTAGCCAGTTAGTTATATATCAGCATCGCTTGAGTTTAGTTTCAATTTTTCCATCTCTAATTGTCTCATTTTTCAGGATATTCCTGGTAAGATTACAAGAAGAGCCTGTTGTTTTGGCTTTTTTTCCAGGCAGAAAGCGCTGTGGGGAAGAACACGGGAGGAGCTGCTGCACTTGTTGAGCTCACAGCCCATCACTGGCTGGGAAGGGATGAACATCCACTCTCTCGGGGAAATTGTTTGGTCCTCCCGGGTTTTTCTGAGGAGTTACCACATGGAGGTAATCATCCTTGCACCACAACCACTGGGTAATACACAGGGGATTTTTCCCTTGAGAAAGAAAAGATTGTCTAACTTTGGATTTCACAGGCCCTGTCCAAACTAGTGTCAAACCTCAGCGCAACACTCAAACCACAATTTGTCTTGACCTTTTTTTTCCCTGGAATTAATGCTAATAAGTTCAACTTTTTTTTCACGAGTGCCAGCAAGAGCTGAAAGGATTTCACAGCTGCTTCCTTGAACAGCATGACTTTTTTATTATTCATTCTGACAAAAACATCCTTTTATTTTTATTTTTTATTTTTTTTGTCAGAGGTTTCTTTTTGGGGAAAAGCATAAGAGATAAGGTCATTACGGTTTCAAATTTGCCTGTGTGATGACCAAACCCTCTCCACGGGTGCTGGTGGTGAGAACCAGCAGTGTGACAGTCACTGCCGTGCTGGTGACAAAGTCAGGAGGAACCGAGACCTGTCCTAGCTCTGCCATGGATTCACGCCTCTCTAACCACACTGCCTTGTTTATCTGACTGCACGCACACAGCAAAACCTCGCTGTCTCTCAGGAATGCCATGGTCTGGGTTACCAGTTCTCAGAGAGCACCCTGAGGCAAGATGATGAAAAATGACAAATTAATGACATAAAGCTTCGGCCAAACCGTGACCGAGAGCAAGACAGCCCAGCAGTGAAACACTGCAGAGCTCCTCAGCACAGACACCTGTCAGGCAGCAAGGGGAGGCGAAGAGCTTTGGAGGGATGTAATTTCCTTTTAGGAAACTGAAATGTTCTAGAGGAAAGGTGTGACCGATCTCATTTCAACAGGAGATGTGTGAGCGCTACGTCGTGCTGGCCTCCTTGCACTTGCTGATTCTTTCCGTGGATCACACAAAGAAGGCATTTGTTTATGAGGTAAAGCTTAAGAATCCCTTTGTGTCTGTGCATTTACGCTCATATTCCAGATTTCCTAAGTATCTCTTTGCTCATAGCTCTAGCATGTGTGTGGCAAAAAGAGTGCTAGCCCCTCGATGCCCTGCTCTAGATGGAGCAAAGATATCCTGACCCCACCAGCCAAGACAGGGGCACTTCACTGATTTTACTGGGGCTTTGGCATATTTTCTAGCACAGTAGCTCACAGTTCACCATGTTTTTTCAGCTTATTTTGAACAGTCCGCACCAGGGATTGAAAAAGAAGTGCCACTTTCTATTTATATTATATTCTATAATTTTAGCCGGCCGCTTATCACGTTCCTGGTTTACCCAGGGACTGCAGCTCCCTACCAGTGAGCTGAGGCATCGGCCAGAAGGCATCTGAAGAAGGCGACAAGAACAGGAGGTGACAGGAGAGAGGGAGTTAGGGAAGGTGTAGGAGGGGGCAGGCACACAGTGCATGAAGGAGACACGTCCAGGAGAGCTGCCCTCAGCACAGCGACGTCTCCTGATGGCTCCGATACACGTCTGTGGCTCCCGAATGTGAGAAAAAAAAAGAGCCAAATTAAGAAACTTCCTCACTACAGAAAGATCCTTGAGCTGTATCACGCTGGAGGTGATAAAAATCAAAGTCCCTCCATCAGCTCCATGGGTGGAGTAAGAGGACACGGAAAAGAAACCATCACTTTAGGAAATACGGGATCCAAAATGCAGAGAGGCCCCTTTGTCCTCAATGTGAGTGTCCTCTGCTGGCATGGCTGGGGGGGCCTGGGGCAGGTGGTGAAGTGGGGGAGGCTGCAAGGTGGATGAAATTGTGTCTAGCTCATACAAACTGCTTTTCAGCACCAGTCTTGGTCTACTGGTGAAGCTCACCCCTGTAGCTCCGAGCATTTTATGAAGGAGGACAGTCATTTTATGGGTAGGGAAACAGGAATAAAAACTCAGATTTGCTACGTCTCCAGCCAATGAGCTGAACATCATCTGTCCCAAACTTCCTTAAGGTGGAAGGCTGAAAAGATGGGAAATTCTTTATCTGGCTTGCAGAAAAGCAACCTGCTGTGTGTGAGAGGGACTGCAGTGGGACAGAGAAGTTATTCTTACCAGCTGACCTCTAACATCATTCCTCACCATACCAGGGGCTCCTTCCTCTCGCTGGGATGCAGCTGAGGCAGATTGTGAGTGCCATCAGCTACACGTTTGAGATTTCTGGTAAGCCTGTTGGGCAGTTCCTGGAGGGGCCTGGGGTGGCTGCAGAGCAGTGATTGATGTCCATGCTCTGGGCTTCAAGGACTGGGGTCTATGTGGGCAGAAGATAAGGGGGTTATGCAGCCAGGTGGCTGATTACTGAAGATATTCCTCCTGGAGAAT